GGTGTTGCAGGAGTTTTGGGTGTTGCAGGAGTTTTGGGAGTTGCAGGAGTTTTGGGAGTTGCAGGAGTTTTGGGTGTTGCAGGAGTTTTAGGTGTTTTTGCCGATTGAGGAGTTGCAGGAGTTGTAACAGATTCACTTTGGATTGCACTTTTTGGTGTTTGCGGTGGTGACTGTTCAAAGCTAAACGCTTCTTTCGAACGTTCGGTATCTTCATCTTTCGTTGAAACAGACCTGAAATTTCGATATGAAGTTCTGCTCTAAGTACAATCTCAACAAATCTGAGTAAAATCCGATACGATTTGAGTTCAATCCCTCATCAGTGAATACTTTTGCATCTAAGGAAGATGCATAGAATCCATTCGAACAACTTTTCAATGTCTTTCAGTATTTGTAAAAAAATGATTCGCCGTAATTGAAAAAAGCGGAAATGGCAATCACATATATTTGCGGATAAGTAATTATGCCGTAAACCTCAAATGTTTTACTGTTCCGGCTATTGGAGTTACAAAGTGCATAAGGGCCTTGATTTGTTTCGGACCGCTCCGGATTAGCTACTAGTAGATAAGCTCGTAAACAGACTCAGGCACTGAAGCGAGCAAACACGATAAATGGGCATCTGATGCAAGTGCTTAGCTATAAGAGAAAAAAATCTTTAAAAAAAACCTCGGAGTTGCTGTAACACTATCTCCGCTTGCTGGCTGTTCCTTAGGTGATTGGAGAGTTACTGACTTGGGTGTAGCAGGAATGCTTGAAACAGACCGTTTTGGAGTAGCTGTAATGACGATATCATTAGTAATGATTTTTCAAGCTGGAAATAACGGAATCAGTAGCAGCTGGAACGGTAAGTGTTGGTGATATTAGTGCCACAAACCAAATGATATTGTTTGATCTTCATATGCAAATAAGATTGTGAGGCTGTAAAATATGGGGTTTCAATAGCAATTTGCTCGCAGCTCAATTAACTTAATAGTACTGTTTTAAAGTGGAACAGATTCCTAAGACTGAGATACGTATGGTAGATGATTCCAGAGCAGTGGTTCGCACGTTTGGGTGCTTCGTTACCCCTTTTGATGGTCCGGCAGGCCACC